GAGAGGGAGAGAGAGAGGGCGAGAGAGAGAGAGAGAGAGAGAGAAACACAGACAGTGATAACAAGAGAGAGAGAGAAAGAGAGAGAGAGAGAGAGAGCGAAAGAGAAAGAGAGAGAGAGAGAAAACGAGAAAGAGAGAGAGAGAGAGAGAGAGAGAACGAGAAAAAAAACAGAGAGAAAGAGAGATATGATATCAAGGTGACAGGCTGGAGGTCAGACAAGGTGGGCATTTGATCTAAATCCCCCCCCAACCTCCTCATCGCCCGCAGGGCGGTCGTATAGGTATGTGGTATATGTCCCAACCCTCCTGTGTGTTGGATTCTCGTTTTGAATAGAGCACTGTGGTCTCGCCCTCCATTTTCTCCCCCCTCCTCCTCGGCAAGGCTGCTCCCTGGGTGGCTCCGAGCTGCGCAACCGTCGCCACTTTCGTTGGCTTCTGGGAGGTCCAGCGGAGTCGGGGGCCACGCACATCAATTTGAGACCTCGCTTTCCCCTGGGCGGCTTCGAACTGCGCAACTGCCGCCACTTTCGAAGGCCCCTGGGAGGTCCAACGGAGTCGGGGGCCACGCACACCCATTTCAGACCTTGCTGCTCCTTGGATGGCTCCGAACTGCGCAACCGTCGCCACTTTCGTGAGCTCATGGGAGGTCCAAGTGAGTCGGGGGCCGCGCGCACCCATTTGAGACCTCGCTGCTCCCCAGGCGGCTGCGAACTGCGCAACTGTCGCCACTTTTGCTGGCTCCTGGGAGGACCAGCGGAGTGGGGCCGCGCACATCTGATACCTCGCTGTTCCCTGGGTGGCTGCGAACTGCGCAACTTTCGCCAATTTCGTGGGCTCCTGGGAGATCCAGCTGAGTCGGGGGCCACGCGCATGCAAATGAGACGTTGCTGCTCCCTGTGTGGCTTCGAACTGCGCAACCGTCCCCAATTTCGCGGGCTCATGGGAGGTCCAACTGAGTCGGGGACCACGCGTACCCATTTAAGATCTCGCTTTTCCCTGGGCGGCTACGAACTGCGCAACCGTTGCCCTTTTGTGGGCTCCCGGGAGTTCTAACGGAGTGGAAGGCCACGCAGACCAAATCGATACCCTGCGGCTCCCTGGGGGGTTGCGAACTGGGCAGCCGTGACCACTTTCGCTGGCTCCTGGAAGATGCGGCGGAGGTGAGGGCAGCGCAGATCCATTTGGGAACCTCTGCGGCTCCCTGGGCGGCTTCGAACTGCGCAACTGTCACCATTTTCTTGAGTTTCTGCGAGGCACGGCGGAGGTGAGGACAGCGCAGATCCATTTGAAACCCCGCGGCTCCCCCGGGGGCTGCAAGCTGCGCATCTGGCGCCGCTTTCGTGGGCTCCTGGGAGGCACAGCGGCGATGAGTGAGGGCAGCGCAGGCCGTGCATATCTCGCCATGTGTTCTTTTGTATGGGGCATTCATGCAAGTATGCGCCTCGCGTGAAGAAGGAGTTGTGTAGACGCCGTCTTGTTGCTTGTGATTTCATGCTTTGTTTTTTCGTGTTGTTGATTTTGATGCTGTTGTTGGTGGTGGTGGTGGTGGTGTCGTCGTCGTCGTCGTCGTCGTCGTCGTCGTCGTCGTCGTTGCTGCTGCTGCTGCTCAATCGGGACGTCTTCGGTGTCTCAAAAACGTACTGCTGCTATAGCGTAGGCCTGACTTTAGGATCGGCGCTTTGCTCCCGTCGTTCAGACTGGCGCTTTCGCCCCAACGCGGGCCACTCTTCTGGATCACATAATGTTCCCTCGTCGTTGTCGCCTCGCCGCTTTCCCTCCCCCGCCTTCCAAAGGTCAGCCTGCTTCTCCTCCCGCCTCTCCTGCTGTTCCTCCTCGTCCTCCTCTTTCCTCTTCCTCCTCCTCTTCCTCCTGCGCATCCTACTGCTCATCCGCCACCTCCTCCAATGTATGCGGCTCCCCTCCTTGTGATTACGCATGACACAGTAGTGTCCTTCGGGGGGCTTCAAGTCCTCCCTGGCACCCGTCGGCGGATATAGGGGAAAACAGCGCAACGGGAAGGGATGGGTGGGAGGGGTAGGATGTCAGGTAGGGAGCGCGCACGCCTAGCTTGATACTAATACTACTCTCACCTCTCTGTCCTGCAGATGGCCAGGGAGTCGCCCGGCCCCTGTGTTTTTTCGATCGGGACGTTCTCGGTGTCTCAAGAGAAGTGCTGCCGCTGCAGCGTAGGCCTCAGTTTAGGATCGCCGCTTCAGAGTGGCGCTCTCGCCCCGGTGCGAGCCACTTTTCTGGATCCAAGTGCTTCCTCGTCGTTGTCGCCCCGCTCCTTCCCCCTCCCCCGCCTTCCTATGGTCATCCTGATCCTCCCGCTTCTCCCACTCCTGCTCCTGCTCCTGCTGTTTCTCCTCGTCCGCCTCCTTCCTCGACCTCCTGCTGGCATCCGGATGTCCCAACATGGCCCCTGGGAGGGCGGGCACGAAACAGCCCAGGAATGACCCGAAGACCTCGCAGAGGGCCCCAAGCGAATCAGAAGAGTCCCACCTGGGGGGCCCGAGAAGCCCAGGCTCCAAAATGCCCACCCACGATACCACCCAAAACTACCCCGACAGCCCTGGATGCAGTCGGGGAAACAACACTCAGGGACCCCCAAGGTGCTGTCAAGATGGCCCGAAGGAGCGTCGGCAATGGATCAGTATCAGCTACTGAGCAATACGAGCACACATTGTTTGTCTCAACGATTCTAACAACCATTCGCGGCCAGAATGAGCCGCAGGCGACGCATATTTGTACCATGTCTTCTGGCGAATTCACTTTACTAAGCATAGGCAACCTCAAACAGAAAACAGGGGCATGGCACGAACCGACCTGGTTCTCATAAATGAATCCACTCAGGGCTATACCAAGATGCACGCAAAATAGGGTGCTGGGGCCGTGCCGCCAAGCTCCAGAATGCTGCGAGAGCCGTGTGAAACGATTCGCCCGTATCCCCAAAAGTCCGTCCTGCAACTGCAGGGGCACAGCGACCCTAAACAGCAACGCCGCACACTATCCTGCGCATGGTGCCCGAAAGCTATGGGGCCCGGCATGGGCACGGCACGCCGCGCGGGCACGCCGCGCGGGCACGGCACGGCACGCGCACGGCGCGGCACGCACGGCACGGCACGGCACGCGCTCGGCACGGCACAGGGCGCACTGCACGGCACAGCGCGCGGGCACGGCACGGCGCCTTTCCGACCCCTAAGAACTCGGGCCCCGCACGCCCCGCGCATGGCACGGCACGCGGGCACGGCACGGCACCACACGGCCCTGTTCCCGAACCTGGAACGCAGGCACTGCACGGCACGCGGGCACGGCACGGCACACGGGCATTGGGCGGCACGCAGGAACGGCACGCCACGGCGCATGTTCTGCATCCTAGAACTCAGGTGCAACACGGCACGCGCACGGCACATCCTTGGCGCTCAAGAACTCAGAAGCCGGCTCTCACAATACGTATGGGACCACTATCGCATTGGCTGTTTGAGGGTAGCAAACGAGGGCCTGACAATCTGGCAAAGCCCATACGCTGGAAACCGATCCCGTCCGAAGTCTCCACAGCTAGACGCAGGATGCAATCATTCTCGGCAGGGCGAGCTACAGAACAGAGCTGGGGGCAAGCGGGTCCAGCAGCGGGGACCGAGCGAGCGTGCACCGTCGGTCCGACGGACTGGTCCGACGACGAGAATGCGGGCGGGCCGGGATCCAGAGAGGGAGGAGGGAATCAGGCCCCAGTGTTGGTGGAGTCTGCACATTGCCAGGAGGGGAGAGGAAGGGCGTGGGGGTGAACACAACGGAGGATGGGGCGTCAAGGACTCGGGCTCTTGATCAGGCTCCGCCCGCTCGGGGTCCAGTGGGCCCTCGTTCGGCCTGGGGTCCGCATGCAATGCTGGCCTGCACGCTCGCCTGCCGCGGCGTGCACGAGGCGAGCTCGCAGCCGCACGCCGCCAGGAAGTTGGATGCACACGACGTGGCCGACAGTGGCGAGAATTGGGTTCGAGGAAGAAACAAAGACATAAGCATGAACTGTCGGAAGCTCGCGCGGAGCTCCGACAATTTATGTCCGTGTAGTTTTTTCTTCCTCGATGGATGCGCATGGAGCGCTCCAGACAGGGCTTCGCCTTCGACGAACTGAGAAACCGAAGTTGCCTTTGCTTTCTCGGCGGAAGGCCCGCGGAAGCCCCTCCCACGCGGCGTGGAGGTGCTGGCCCGGCCCGCCTGCGCTCGCCCTAGGGTTCGCCCGCGGCGGCTATCAACAAGAACTAACAGTGCAGTCCAGAGGAGCGCCCACGTGCTCTCGTGGCCACCACCAGTCCACTCCTCCTCTACTCTCTCGTCCCCCCGCCCTTCCCTCGTTCGCGAGCTCACTTGAAAGCCTCGGCCGAACAGATATAGTTTCCAGGCCCAAATTGCGTACATGTTGAGGCATTTAGCCTTGCCAGAAGATGCTACTCTTAGGAATTGGGGCCTCCAAAACAACATTTCAACCCACAAGCGTACGTGCTGGCCATGCCAGAACATGATAATATGAAAAGTTTGGGCCTCCACAGACAATTCAACCCGCAAACTTACATGTTGAGACATCCAGCCATGACAGAACAGAATTGGCTCAAACGTCTCGGGCTCCAAATCAGAGTTCCAAGACAGAAGCTGCTCAGTCTACAAATTGGGGCTTCTTGCCATGCCAAGAAGCGAAAAATCGATCTCTAAGGCCCGATTTTCAAGGCTGGGCGCTCACGTCCAACAGTCTCGGGCCCTAGTAATCGGCACAGAGCGCGAGGGCGGCGCCCTGGTGGAGCGTTGAGTCAACGCCCTTGTAAAGCCTGCTGAGGATCTGTCGGAATCGCTTGACAGGCCTGTCGTCGGCACCTCAGGATGCAGCCCGATGTCTGGGCAACAATCGGAATTTCTGGCCAGCCATGGACTCCAGATATCACGGGTGGCACAGTCGGGCTTAGGCGGAGTCCCACAGCGGCAGCGCGGCAGCTCGACGCGGGTGGCTGTCAAGCGACCGCACGGCCACGCGGAAACGAGTGCCTGGACAGGCCGGGCGACGCCGTGGCGCCGGCGTGCTCTCGTGCGCGCGGGGGCTCCGAGCGCTGCCCGCGCGCGGCCGCCGCGCTCATGCTCACGAAGTCGCAGTCCAGGACGTGCCAGCACTGCGTGGAGGGCGGGGCGGAGCACCAGAGCGTGGCGCCGTCCTGCAGCCCCATCTGCTGCCAGCCGTGGGCCGCCGCCTGCGCGCCCGGGCGGCGGTGGTCCCGCGGCGGGGGCGCCACCGCTCCCGGGCCCGTCGGTGCAGAGCGGCCGGCCGCGCCGCGGCTGGCGCTCCGCAGGGTGGGCAGCCTGGGAGGCTCGTGGGCCGGCTGCGCCAACTGGCACGGCGGGGCCGGCTGGTCGGGCTGCCCATGCGCTCGCCGCTGCTCGGACGGCGCACGGCCGACGGTCCCTGGCCTCGGCGGCGCCGCGCTCATCTGTGCCTGGGGCTCCAGCGCCGCAGGGACGTCCAGACATGCGACTTGCTGCGCATTGTCGTGGTCCTCCTCCGGCCACGCCTGCGCGCAGGGGGCGCGCCGCAAAATAGGCTGCTCTGGCCCTGGCGACTTGCTCAGCTCCTGCGGCGGCGCCGGACTATCCGGCTGGATCGCGAAGGGCTCGGTGCCGCTCCAGACCTCGGGCGTTAACGCGAAACCAGCGGTCCACGGGGACTGTGACCCGATCTGGGGCCCTTGCAGGGTGGGGTCCTGGCCAGCGTCCCAAGGCCCCGCCAGGAGATCCGCCGTCGCGCTCTCTCCCTTCTTGCCCGAGCCGCCCGGCCGCAGTGCAAGCTTTGGCGCCGAGCGCGAGCCCACGAGTGCGGCCTGCTTCGTGGGATGCCAGGTCCGCTCCGTCGCTTGCCTGGAGAGCTCGCCACTAGCGCCCCTGGGCCCTCCTGGCGAGTCCTTCTCGTCGTCTGAAAGGGCCTCCCACAGCGTGGGCAACTCCTGCTGCGTCCACTCGGAGGCGCGGCACCTGCCATCGACCAGGCATGGACGTCGTACCCTTGTGGGGTCCTCCTCCTCGCTGGGCGAGCCCTCCTCCCGCAGACGTGGTAGCTGTGGGGACCCGCCCACGGGCGAGCGCAGGTGGGCTGGATGGTGCAGCGTCTCGAGCGGGAGCTGCTGCCCGGGGAGACCCTGGCCGGCGTCCTCGGACCTCGCCGAGCCCTCGTCGCCTTCTCCGCTCGCGCCACCCTTCGGCAACTGTGGCAGCCGCGGCGCCGAGCGCACCCGCGGGAGCCTGACCTGCCCGGTCGTGCGCTCGGCCTGCGGGGGCGGCTCCTTGCGGTTGATAGCCGAGCCGAGCGCCGCCCGCAGGCGGGCCGTCTTGCGCTGCAGCTCGGGGAGCAGCCGCACCAGGCCAGCCGGGGCGTCTGCCACGGGGCGGTGGCCGGCACACAGCGGGCCCTCCTCGGGAGACGAGTAATGACTGTATCATAAGGATGCGCGATAAGATGCAAGGGCCATGGGCGCCCATTTCGAAGCTTTTCGAGCGGGGCGCGGCCAACGAAAGTGGCCAAGGATGGACCGAGGAGGCGAGGATGCAAGGGTACGCTGCCCATCCTTACTATGCGGATTGACTGTAAATATAAACTTGAGGTCCTCGCAGATTCCTTGGATCGGCGCCAGACCCCCTCCCTGGCGCGTTGAGCGCGCCAAGGGTGGCGCTGGAGGCGCCGCCAGGTGGCTCTAGTGCCGATGCGAGAAATCAATGCGGAATTCCGAGAATTTGTGCTTATCTGTCATTATTCGTTCCCCGACCACTTGCGGTCGGCTACACGCAAGAGTGACCCCGCGCCCCAGGCACGCGTGACCTCTGGTGCGCGGCTCCGAACAACCAAAAAGCAAGCGACACCACCCCAACTACGGCCCTCCATGTATTCCACGCAAAAACCCAAGCCAGAATTCATGGTATATGCGGAGGCCCGTTCGGCCGAGGGCGGGGTGGTGTCGTTTGTTTTCTGGTCCAGCTCCAGGGGGCAGCGGGGGCGCCAAGCCTGAGCGTGCAGGCCGGCGCTGGGGGGGCCCCTGGGGCCCCGCGGCGAGAGGTCACTCTTGCGCCCAGCCTCCGTCGGTCGGGGAGACGATAGGGAGCGAACAGCCATAGCCCAGGGGAGAGCAACGCATGTAACCTCAGAAGGTCTCAATTTTGCACTCCCCCTGTTTCTCCTGGCGGGGAGCAGACTCGCCCCTCCTCCTCCTGCTCCTGCTGCTCCTGCTGCTCCTCCTCCTCCTCCTCCTCCTCCTGCTCCTCCTCCTCTCTCCACTGATGATGTCCGGAAGATACCCGGCCCCCCTCCGCGTATTGTTTTCTACACACAAGATTCCCAGGATGCGGGTTTTCGCTTATATCTCTTTGAACATGTTGCTCCCGCTGAAACGCTGGCCTCATTGTCGTGCTCACGCTCCTTCCGAATCGTGCTCCCGCTGCAGCGCTGGCCTTATTTCCCCGCTTCCGCTCGTTCCGAATCGTGCTCCTGCTGCAGCGCTGGCCTTCCTTCCGCATAGGCCACAAAATCTTGAAAATCCCTTCCAACAAAAACCATCGGAAATGATTACACAATCGGTGCAGGTTCGTTGATTCCTTGGGCCACAGAAGCCCCCCAATATCAAGCGGGAGTCCCGTTTCTGCTTTGAGAAGGCGATGTTGGCAGAGCCAGCGGGTACTCTCCATCAGCCCCGCCTTCTGTGGAGCGTTTCGGGGAGACCAAGGAACTAGACATGGAGCCACGACTCCAGACCGGCCCAGACCTCTCGAAAACGATCCACTTACCCTCCAAAGAACCTGGGGCCATGCCATGACATGCTGTGCGGTTTGTGTTCTGCGCTGCTGTGCGATGTCATGCTTCGCGTTGCAATGCTTTGTGATGCAATGCTTCACTGCGCCATGTCACGCCATGCTATGGCATGCTACGCTCTGCCCTGTTTTTCTACGCCATGCCATGCCGTGCTCTACCATGCATCGCGTGCCCTCTCGCGATCATTGCCCTGCTCGACATCCGACTGTGCGAATAAAGAGGATATCTACGCCATTATTAGGGGATGGGAAGGAGGGGTAGGAAGTCAGACATGACGCGAGCGCACCTAGCTTTCCCCCCTCCTCCTTCTCCTCCTTCTCCTCCTCCTTCTCCTGCTGCTGCTGCTGCTCCTGCTGCTGCTCCTCCTCCTCCTCCTCCTCCCCCTCCTCATCCTCCTCCTCCCCCTCCTCCCCCTCCTCCTTCTCCTCCTCCTCCTCCTTCTCCTCCTTCTCCTCCTTCTCCTGCTGCTCCTCCTCCTCCTCCTCCTTCTCCTCCATCCTTGTCCAAGGGCGCCGATGGTCCTTGCCTTCGGCGAGGCTCCCAGGCGATTGCGTGCAATGCCCGCCCCCTGGGCCATTCGCCCCTACCGTCGACCCCCGAGCGAGACGGTCTTGCCAGCAGCGGCGGGTCCGGCGGGCCCCGCGCCTCGGGCGCACCGCTCGGCGCGACCATGCGCCGTGGCGGCGGCCGCCCCCCGCGGCGCGCAGGGCGGGGCCGGCCCGCCCTGGCGCCCGAGGCGGCGCGGGCCCGGGCCAGGGCTGCGCGAGCCAGGGCCAGGAAACACCCTGGGCCCATCAACGGTGCTGCAATCTATGTAAGCCCTCCCTCCAAGGTTCCCTCTCCATGCGTCCACACAAGCAACTCATCTTCGCTGAGAGAAGTGCCCCGTTTGGAGGGAGGGGCTGGGCGGCCCCTGCTTCTCCACGCGCGCCCCAGATGGCCGATCCCGGAAGCACCGAGCCCCAAAACATTGGCATCTCTTAGGGGCGCATCTTCTGCTTCCGTCGCCTGCCACCGGGCCTCCGCTGGCGGAGCCGCCCTCGTTTTGCTTCCGCCACCTTCCGCCGACCCTTCTTTGGAACGCCTCAGATGAGAAGCGCGCGCGCCCTGGGGGGGGGACAAGGGGAGGAGGGGGGGGGAGCAGGACGGGCAGGAGGGGGAGGAGGCATGGGGGCAGGGCGCGAGGGGGACGAGGCGGTGCTTGTCCCTGCGGGTTTCCGATCGGGCCGCCCCTCAGGCTGCGATCCAGGTCGTGTCTCGCGCTCGCGGTTGCAACCTCGGCAGCTGAGTCGGCCGCGCATGTGCTCTGAGGTGTCCGCCCAGCCGCCTGGCCTGGGCGAGCGAGTCGCCCCGTGGTGCCAGCAAAACTTCTCGCACGTTCCTGGCAAACCGGGCACACACACGCGCAGCCCCTGGAGGCCTCACCGAAACGCCTCCCGGCGGCGCGTCCCAGGGTGCCCCGCGCCGTAGGGCTGGGGTGATGAGGCCTCCCCAGAACACCCTGTGTGCCTGTCGAGGACACCTGGGAATGCATCCGGGCGCTGTCTATGCCTACGGTCAGGAACTCTTGCTTAGTTAGCGTGTGGCAACGACGGCCCCGGCGACACTGTCTGCCCTGCGACCGGATGCGCGTGTCGCTCCGCTTTGAGGGGCGGGAAGCCTCGAAAGGCTTGGGACGTTGGTGCCTGGGGACTGGGGCGTGGTTAGTGTGTCGCGCCGCAGCGTGGTGGGCCAGAACTGGCGGCGCGAAGCGGAAATCAAAAGATCCTGAACACAAGGACGGTGCGACATTGCGCAGTGGCTTTCGCAGGCGGCAGACGAGTGGTGCACTGGGCGAAAGGAAGGACGCCTAAATAAGCGCGACGTGAAGAGCGGGCAGGCTGTGCGCGAAGATCATCCGAGACCCTCATAATGACAAAGTTTTTTTCCCAACCCTCCTGCGTTGGGTTCTCGTTTTGAATAGAGCACTGCTCGCGCGTCTCCTTCCTTACTTCCTTCCTTCCTCCCCCCCTCATCCCCCCTGCCTTTTGCCTCGCTCGTCGCTGCGTGCCAGCTGGGGGGCTGCGATCTGTGAAACTGTCGCCACTTTCGAGGGCTGCTGGGGGGCCCAGCACAGTGGGTACACACGGCGGACTCAAATGGGACCACGCCATCCCTGGGGGGCTGCGATCTGTGAAACTGTCGCCACTTTCGAGGGCTGCTGGGGGGCCCAGCACAGTGGGTACCCACGGCGGACTCAAATGGGACCTCGCCATCCCTGGGGGGCTGCGATCTGTGAAACTGTCGCCACTTTCGAAGCCTGCTGGGGGGCCCAGCACAGTGGGTACACACCGCGGATTCAAGTTAGACCTCGCCATCCCTGGGGGGCTGCGATCTGTGAAACTGTCGCCACTTTCGATGCCTGCTGGGGGGCCCAGCACATTGGGTACCCAGCGCCCCGCTTGAGACATCGTCACAATCTGCTCTCCAAGCGAAGGATGTTGAGCCCAGAAACAAGCAAACCGCCTGAGACATCCCCACAAAATGGCCGCGAACGAGCCCGTGCAACCACCCCTGGCGGCTCCCCTTAGGGGTGCTGAAACCAGCGCCCCGCCTGAGACATCCTCACAGTCTGCTGTCCAAGCGAAGGATGTTGAGCCCGGAAACAGGCAAACCGCCTGAGACATCCCCACAAAAAGGCTCTCAAATCCCGTCGGTGGTTCCGTTGGGCTGCCTGACACTTCCTGACAATTCACTCACAGACGAGGCTCCCGCTTGATATCTCCATATTCAGGCCTCAGGAGCCCAAAACTGACGACAGTTACAGGAATCCGATGACCCGCTCACATTCAAATATGAACTGCGGGCCCCATAGGGAGGGGGCTCCCGCCTGAGACTTCCTCACAATTCACTCACAGACGAGGCTCCCGCTTAATACTTCCTCCAAATTCAGACCTGAGGAGCCCAAAAATGACGACAGTTACAGGAATCCGATGACCCGCTCGGATTAATAACATGATCTGCGGGCCCCATAAGGAGGGGGCTCCCGCCTGACGCGTCCTCACAATTCACTCACAGACGAGGGTCCCGCTTGATACTTCTTCCAAATTCAGACCCGAGGAGCCCAAAACTTACGACAGTTACAGGAATCCGATGACCCGCTCGGATTATTAATAGATCTGCGGGCCCCATAGGGAAGGGGCTCCCGCTTGAAACTTGCTCGCAATTCACTGACGAACGAGGCTCCCGCCTGATACTTCCTCCAAATTCAGACCTGCGGAGCCCAAAAATGACGACAGTTACAGGAATCCGATGACCCGCTCGGATTAATAACATGATCTGCGGGCCCCATAAGGGAGGGGGCTCCCGCCTGAGACTTCCTCGCAATTCACTCACAGACGAGGCTCCCGCTTGATACTTCCTCCAAATTCAGACCTGAAGAGCCCAAAAGTGACGACAGTTACAGGAATCCGATGACCCGCTCGGATTAGTAACATGATCTGCGGGCTCCATACGGACGGGGCTCCCGCCTGAGACTTCCTCACAAATCACTCACAGACGAGGCTCCCTCTTGGTGGATGATGGTGATGGGATGATGACGACGGTGTTTGATGATGATATATGATTGATGATGATGATGATGATGGTGGTGGTGGTGGTGATGATGACGACGTGATGATGATGATGGTGGTGATGATGAGTGCTGATGGTGAGTGATCGTGCGATTCTGATGGTAAATGGTGGTGATGATGATGGGGACGAAGTGGTGAGTCAGCGAGTAGTGATGATGATGATGATGATGATGATGATGATGATGATGATGATGATGATGATGATGATGATGATGCTGATGATGATGATGATCGTTCGATGCCGATGATGGTGAGTGATCGTGCGATGGTGATGGTGATGCTGATGGTGATGATGATGATGATGATGAATGGGGAGTGATGGTGATGGTGATGATGATGCGGAGGAGGAAGCAAAGAGGAGCAGAGGAGAGGGAGGAGGACGAGAGATCCTGCGCGGAGGGTGTGCAGAGAAAACAAGAACCCCACTTAGGATGTGGGGAAAAAAGTAGCGGGGGAGGGGGTGACGGGGAGACGAGGACCAGCGCAGCGTGCAATTCGTGCGACAAGGCTGGGGGCAGTGGCGACCCGCAGCATCGGGGCGGGGCGGGGAAGCCGAGGCGGCAGGCACACGAAGGCCGTGGGAGGAGCAGGCGATGCACTTTTTGGCGGTCGCGGCCTTGCGCGCAATGTTTGCAGTTTTGAAGCGGAGCAAATCGCAAAGCGACCGAAAACCGAAGAGACAACGTGTGCGCAGCACCCACGCGCATACTTTTCGGTCGTCGCGGGTGGGAGCATCACCACGCCGTCAGCTTCGCCGCGCGGAAGACCGCGCGCGCGTCCAGTAGTCAGAAGAGAGGCGAAGAAAAAACGAGGCGGCCGGCCCTTCACAGGGCAGTGACCGGGTGTGGCGTCGGGGGGCAAGGGCGGCAAGGCAGCGGGGGGGCGGTGGCCAGGGGCGAAGCGCCTGCGTACTTTTTTTCGTCGCAGCGCGGCAGAGGCAATCCGCGCGCGCGCTGGTGCGAAACCGGGGCGCGGCGTCGCGAATCAGCCCGCGTGAAATACGGGGGGCGAAAAGCGAAGGGGCGGCCGCAGGGTGGAGGGCGAGGCGAGGGTGCGGCCTGGCTGAAGGGTCACCCCTGGCGGCGGCTGCGGGTCGGCGTCGCGCTGGGCCCAGGGAGGGGGGCCAACGGCCACGGTGCGGGCAAAACCCGGCAAGTCGAAGAGCGGGAGTAGCTGGCGGCCGGAAGACTTGGGCGCCAGGGGGGGTGGGGGCAGCGGCGTGGGGGTCGGCGGCGGCAAGGGGAGGTGCGCCAGCGTTGCAGCGGCTGCGAGGAACCAAGGCGGCGGTCGGCGACCCGTCGCAGGGCGCGGGGGGGGAGGCAGAGGCGGCGGAGAAGAAGGAACGCCACTCTGTAACTGGTGCGCGGCATCGCGGCAAGGAGTTATGCGTCGGTCAGTGCAAGTGGCGCGCGGGCGGGGCCCCGCGAAGGGAAACGACGAGCCCAACAGGCCGTCAAAATGGGGGGCGAAGGGCAAAGTGGGAGGCGAGCCGCAATGGCGGTGGCAAGCATCCCCGCGCACTTTTCAGTCGTCGGCGCAAAGGCACCTCAGGCGCGGTCGGCAGGTGGAGGTACCAATTCCGAACGAACTTCATCGAACGCGCCATAATGAGAGAAACAACCCAGTCACGGCAGCGCAGATTGGTGGTGCACAGAGCATGCGGCGCTGTAAAGCCAAAATGCAGCGGCCAACAAAACGAGGGGCAACTCGACTCGTATCAATTTAAAGCGGCAGCAGCAGTCTGGTGCTAATGCGCCACTGCGCCCCGACGCGCACACATGCGCGCACCCAAGCGCCCGCCCGCGCACTTTTCTAAGCCATCGGCGCAGAAGGTCTTCAAGCGCGGGCAGCAGGTGGAAGTGCTGACTGCGATCGAGCATTGTCGAAGGCGCAGCGTCCAATGCGTCGCGCACTGCAACGTGCGCGTGATGGGTGTGCTAGAGGATCTGTAAGTACAAACGACACACTCAACACACGCAACATACAACGCACACTCACAACGCACAACGCACAACGCACAACACATAAGACACATTATACACGACACACCACACAGCAAAC